AATTATGAGATAGTGATGCCATAATAATGAGATTCTAGGTCGTAATTATTAAATTCTAGGTTGTAATTATGAGATACTATGTCGTAATTATGAGATACTAGGTTGTAATTATGACATAGCGAAATCGTAATTATGAGATACTAGGTCGTAATTATGAGATTCTATGTCATAATTATGAGATACTAGGCCGTCATTATGAGATACTAGGTCGTAATTATGAGATAGTGATGCCGTAATTATGAGATACTAGGTCGCAATTATGAGATAGCAAAGTTGTAAATGTGAGACACTAGTTTGTAATTATGAAATACTAGTTCGCAATTATGAGATACTATGTCGTAATTGTGAGATTCTATGTCATAATTATGAGATACTAGCTCATAATTATGAGATACTAGGTCATAATTATGAGATAGTGAAATCGTAATTATGAGATACTAGGTCGTAATTATGAGATTCTATGTCATAATTATGAGATACTAGGCCGTAATTATGAGATACTAGGTCGTAATTATGAGATAGCGATGCCGTAATTATGAGATTCTAGGTCGGGTTGTAATTATTAAATTCTAGGTCATAATTTTGAGATTCTATGTCGTAATTATGAGATACTAGGTTGTAATTATGAGATAGCAAAGTTGTAAATGTGAGACACTAGTTTGTAATTATGAAATACTGATTCGTAATTATGAGATACTAGGCCGTAATTATGAGATAGCAAAATTGTAATTATGAGATACTAGGTTGTAATTGTGAGATTCTATGTCATAATTATGAGATACTAGGTCGTAATTATGAGATACTAGGTCATAATTATGAGATAGCGAAATCGTAATTATGAAATACTAGTTCGTAATTATGATATACTAGGTCATAATTATGAGATACTAGGTCGTAATTATGAGATAGCGAAATTGTAATTATGAGATACTAGGTCGTAATTGTGAGATTCTATGTCATAATTATGAGAAACTAGGTCGTAATTATGAGATACTGGGTCGTAATTGTGAGATAGCGAAGTCGTAATTATGAGATAGCAAAGTCTTAATTATGAGATAGCAAAGCCATAATTATGAGTTTCTAGGTCATGATTATGAGATAGCAAAGCCGTAATTATGAGATTCTAGGTCGTAATTATGAGATTCTAGGTCATAATTATGAGATTCGAGGTCGTAATTATGATATTCTAGGTCGCAATTATGAGATTCTAGGTCATAATTATGAGATTCTAGGTCGTAATTGTGAGATAGAGAAGTCGTAATTATGAGATAGCAAAGTCGTAATTATGAGATAGCAAAGCCGTAATTATGAGTTTCTAGGTCATGATTATGACATACTAGGTCTCAAATTATGAGATACTAGGTCGTAATTGTGAGATAGCGAAGTCGTGATTATGAGATAGCAAAGTCATAATTATGAGATAGCAAAGCCGTAATTATGAGTTTTTAGGTCATAACTATGAGATTCTAGGTTATAATTATGAAATTTGAGGTCGTAATTATGATATTCTAGGTTGTAATTATGAGATTCTAGGTCATAATTATGAGATTCTAGGTCATAATTATGAGATTCGAGGTCGTAATTATGATATTCTAGGTCGCAATTATGAGATTCTAGGTCATAATTATGAGATTCTAGGTCGTAATTGTGAGATAGAGAAGTCGTAATTATGAGATAGCAAAGTCGTAATTATGAGATAGCAAAGCCGTAATTATGAGTTTCTAGGTCATGATTATGACATACTAGGTCTCAAATTATGAGATACTAGGTCGTAATTGTGAGATAGCGAAGTCGTGATTATGAGATAGCAAAGTCATAATTATGAGATAGCAAAGCCGTAATTATGAGTTTTTAGGTCATAACTATGAGATTCTAGGTTATAATTATGAAATTTGAGGTCGTAATTATGATATTCTAGGTTGTAATTATGAGATTCTAGGTCGTAATTATGAGATTATAGGTCATAATTATGAGATTCTATGTCGTAATTATCATATTCTAGGTCGTAATTATGAGATTCCAGGTCGTAATTATGAGATTCTTGTCATGTTGTGGCAGACCGGGACAATTCTAGGTCGTAATTATGAGATTCTAGGCCATAATTATGAGATTCTATGTTGTAATTATGAGATAGCGAAATCATAATTATATTCCAGGTCATAATTATGAGATTCTCAGTCAAAATTATGAGATACTAGGTCGTAATTGTGAGATAGCGAAGTCGTAATTATGAGATAGCAAAGTCGTAATTATGAGATAGCAAAGCCGTAATTATGAGTTTCTAGGTCATGATTATGACATACTAGGTCTCAAATTATGAGATACTAGGTCGTAATTGTGAGATAGCGAAGTCGTGATTATGAGATAGCAAAGTCTTAATTATGAGATAGCAAAGCCGTAATTATGAGTTTTTAGGTCATGATTATGACATACTAGATCATGATTATGAGATAGCAAAGCCATAATTATGAGATGCTAGGTCATAATTGTGAGATTCTAGGTCATAATTATGAGATTTGAGGTCGTAATTATGATATTCTAGGTTGTAATTATGAGATTCTAGGTTGTAATTATGAGATTCGAGGTCGTAATTATGATATTCTAGGTTGTAATTATGAGATTCTAGGTCATAATAATGCGATTCGAGGTTGTAATTATGAGATAGCAAAGTTGTAAATGTGAGACACTAGTTAGTAATTATGTAATACTAGTTTGTAATTATGAGATACTAGGTCATAATTATGAGATACTAGGTCGTAATTATGAGATAGCGAAATCGTAATTATGAGATTCTAGGTCGTAATTATGATATTCAACATTTTGGCCCGAACAACAATATTTATGACCACGTTTTAAAAATTGTTTAAAAAAATGTTTCAACCCTTTCTCTCTTTATTCTCCTTCTTTTGAAGCTCTTCAGTCCAGTTCAGTTGTTCAAGTGAATACGAAGTACTAACTCATCCCTGAAGTTCAAGTCCTTTTTAAATGTTTTTGTCATGTTCTGTGTCCCTCTGTCCCCTGCCTCCTCCAGGTTCTCCGCTTAGGCCTAGTCCACACGTAGCCGGGTTTTTTTTTAAAAACGAATATCCGCCCCTCCAAAAACTTGCATCCACACCACCTAGTTAAAAAAAACTCTGTCCACACGTACCCAGATAAATACGTTGTTAAGGACATGCCAGACCTGTAGGCAGCAGTACTTCCCCCGTTCTTAACCTCGTCCTTCGTCTGTGGTCTTTCGCAAGGAGCAGTAATTCCGCTTGCAAAAACAAACAAGCAAAAAGCGCTTGGACAATTGATAAAGCGAGCGCAGCTCTGAGGGCATCCATGCTGTCGGCTAGTGTAAACACAGGTCGCACACCTGATGTCAGCATTTTTTTGTCGCGGAAAGTGACGTTGTGGACCTTAAAACTCCGGTTTTGTCCGTCCACACGCAGACACCCAAAATGGAGAAAACGCAGATCTTCACTTTGGCTGGAGTTTTTAAAAAGATCCGTTTTCGTGTGAAAAAACTCCGTTTTCGTGTGGATGACAGGCCAAAACGTAGAAAAATATCTACGTTTTGGCAGATCCCCGGCTACGTGTGGACATGGCCTTATGTCCCATGATTATTCCCTCCTGCTTTGTTCTTTCCCCATTTAGTTTATGGAAAACACCTGCCTTCCTTCCAGAGACCACTCACACCTGTCACCTGTTCCCCTGATCACCTCCCTCTGTGCTTAAAAGCCCAGTCATTCCCACAGTGTTTGTCGGTCCATCGTTGTGTATACGTTGTTCTGTTCCCTCCCAAGTTTTGCCCGAGTCAGTGCTCAGTTGTGAGTTTTTGGATCGCTCGATCAAGTCTCCTCCTTTAAATAAAGGGTTTACTTATTTTCATCTGCTCCTGTCTAGTGTGTTCTGCGTTTTTGGGTCTTAACCTCCTGCTCAGCGTGACAGAATGGACCGACCACACCTGGACCCAGCAGAAACCTGGACTCCACAAAAACACTCCACTACATACTGTGGAGACCCAGAGACTTGCCGTACCTACATCGAAGCCTGCACTACCTGGACCTGGCTTTCTCGGAGCATGACAAAGTCTCCTTCATGGTGTCTAATTTGGGTGGTAGCGCCCGCCCTGTGGTTTCTTATGTTCTGTTTGTCCTTGTCTTGTGTTTGTGGTTTGTCCTTTTGTTTTTTGTGCGTCTGGTATCCGCCGTTGGGGGTTTTTCTGTCATGTTCTGTGTGTCCCTCTGTCCCCAGCCTCCTCCAGGTTCTCCTCTTATGCCCCATGATTATTCCCTCCTGCTTTTTTTTGGGGGGGGGGGGCTGCTTGCCCGTTGACTGCCCGTTGACTGCTGGAGATGGTCAATCAGGAGGGGTACACCCTGGTCATAGAGCCAGTCCATCGCAGGGCAACACAGAGACACACAGGACAATCATGCACACACACTCACACCTAAGGACAATTAAGACAGACCAATCAACTAACAGTCATGTTTTTGGACTGTGGGAGGAAGCCGACTACCCGGAGAGAGCCCACGCATGCACAGGGAGAGCATGCAAACGCGCCACTGTGCAGCCGCCTTTGTTTTCATTCAGGTTCTCACAATTTCTTTATTTGCATTTCTTTATTTTGGGGAACATGAATTATAATATAATGTGGGTTTTATAATGTATATATATATATAAATGCAACAACAAATATAAAAGAAACATACAAACTTTATTGACCTGCAGAAAAAATGGTTAAGCCAATTTTGGAGAAACCGCCTGAGCTGTAATAAAAAGACACAAATAAGCTGAAAGTAAATGTTTTATTTTTCCAGACAGCACCAACATATCTCTCATTTCTTCAGTATTAATTTTGACAGTGCTCTCGAAGTGGCTCCTCTGTTGCGTCAAGACGTCTCCATCTGTGTCCAGCGCGCGCGCGCGGATTAGACGCGTATTATCCTCTTAGCTCTAAATGGCCCTACGTTCCGTGCATCTCATCTGCTGTCTAAGAAGCGGGACCGAGGCGTGACACCACAGCTCGGATCTTCATGCGTGGAAAATGACAGTGGCAGCCATTCATCCGTGCTGGTGATCGTGAATTACGCGTGGATCGCCGTGAACCCTCTCCTTTGAGCGCGCAGTGTCTTTTCGTGATCCACCCCACTGATCTTGCAGACTGTAATCTCATCTGTGTCAAACCGCAGCTGCCCTTTCCCCTCGGACACATCACTGGGTGTTTGGATGGCGTTTCTACCCCAACTTTAGATAAAAACAATAGAGAAAACTTGACATCGACTATTTGGCTGGATGCGCGTTTGGATGTGGGCTGAAATGGAGATCTGACCGTATTAAACTTTCAACCAGGGGAAGATATGGATCCAACAAGTAAAGAAAGGCGACTTTTATTCTTCCTTTTCTTTGCTGTTTGTACAACATGCGTTTGTTTTGGTTCAAGAAGGTTAAATAACCGGAGATCTGGTGAGTTAATCCTATAACTGGATTTGCAAAGCTCTTTTTATGATGAGAATGGTTGAGTATAATCAGGCAATTGGTTTAATCTTTTTAGTTTACAGCGTTAAGATAAAACACAGCTCTTTATATTAATTTCTACTGGCAAATCTAAATATAAAAAATGCACTTCAAATTTAAGTTAAGTCACTTCTTATGGAGGAGTACTACTCAGGAAATAACAGAAAAACTTTAAAACCTCCAACTTCTATTTTTCTAAGCTTGCATCAAGTTACCCTAAAAATAAAGCTGTATTTTCTCTCTGCAGCATAAAAAAGTATAAACTAGCCACAAATTTCATTTAGTGATGAGAAACATTTTCAGTTGATTTATTTTAAACGCTAATGAGCATTTTTCCCCAAAAGAATATGATAAAAGTGTATTGGTTGTGTACTCAATTCTGAAAAGGAAGGAAACACTTGGTGAACCAAAGGGAAACAAGCTTATTTGTCTCAAAACAGGTGGAATTTCAGAACCACCTGGAAGTCTTTTAAACGTCAACATACAAGAAGAAACTAACATTATTGTGTCAGGCTCTGCTTTACTCCAATCATGTGCGGATGAAGACCAGACTTTAGAGAAACTCCTCTTCAAACAGCAGCTGAGAGCTGTGAAGATCAGGATAAAAAGCGTCCCACTGATGGAGTTGGAGGAAACTCAAATTGAGTAGAATTGAACGTTTATTATTTGATTTTCTGCAACAAAAAAGCAAGAAAAAGGAAAAGCATTTGAATCAATTTTTTTAAATAATTGGTATTTTTGGATTTGTTAAAAATTCCAACATTAAACTTATTCCCGTCATGCTCATTTGAGGTGAAACCGTGTTTCTATCTTTCGTTGCCACCCTATCCTCGTTTCTTCCCATTTTCCATCTCATTCCTCCTTTCCTCCTCTGTCACTCTGTCTGACCAGCTCTGGATTTCTTCATTCTTCACACTTTTGGAGCCTGAGGCTTTGACTTTTACATCTGTCTGTCATCTCAGTGCAATATTTAGACGTCTACGTAAGGGCGGCTGGAGACCTGTTTTCATGACAGCCAGTGACATTTGGACTTGTTTTTTGTTTTGATGTCTCTCTGATCTCGTTCTCAGGGAGGGGGTGAGGGAGGGGGTGGGGGCTCCGTGTCCACATGCATCACTTCAGATGGTGAATCAGAAAATGTTTAAAATTGATCAAATTCCCATTATTCCCTGTTTGAATGGACTGTTAGGATTATTAATAGAATTATGTATTTTTTCTTTACATTTATTTAAACCCACTGGAATGAAAAATTTTAAATGTTACAAACTTTTCCTTAAAGATCAATTTTACTGATCTGAGCAACAATTTTACATGATGAAGGCATTCACATGTATCCCATTGTTTTAGGTGTCTAGCTCCGCGATCACCTTATTGCGGAATATTCAAGTTCTGCAGTTCAATTTTTTTCTTCATGGATCATATGAAAAAAAATATATAAATGAAAAAATGCTTTAAAATTGTATTTAAATTCAATACAGAAATGAAACGGCCTCTAATTAGTTAAGTTTTGAATTTTACTACAATTTAAAATAAGTTTCTCATAAATTAAAATAGCTTGAGTTTACAATATGAATGTCCACGTTTGTTTGATTCTGTGCCTTTTTTAACAAAAAAAAATGCAGAGGCAAAATTCTCTTGAACGATTAAAATGCAATTAACCAAGATTCATTAATTACAAAGCCTCTAACTAATTAGGCTGATTTCTTCTTATAAAGTCCCACCCTTATGTTCTTCTAATTGTAGGAACAGAATAATTATAGGAAGCGATTGTGTGCAGATATTTTATTGTGAAATCCACATGGTTTGTGTTTTGAAGGTTCTATAATGGGGGTTGCAAATTCCTTGCTATAAAAATGTGCTAAACAGTTAACAATAACAAGTGATATATTTTTTTATAAATTTTTTTTATCAGTAATTGTCCAGCTTGATTTTTGTAGACCCAAACAATGAACACATTTGAAAATAAAATGTTTAATAATAATAAATAAAAACACACACACACACACACACACACAAAATATCATTACATCTTTTTGATTTTTACCTTCGAATAACAAGTTTGTGTGTTTTGGTTTTTATTAATCCACTTAAAGAAATTAAATGTTTATTTTTAACAAAAATTTGCAATAAGTCCTATGCTGAGAGCTGACATTTAAACATTAAAATAAATAAATAGGTACAATAATCTTTAATTGATGAGGCCAATCTCGATTCATGAAAGCTGGTGGTCAGAACAGCAGAAACACTTGAGACAGGGCTCAAATCTGTCGGACAAGAAAAGAGAGCGGGAAAATGTCTCCTTGATTGTCTCACTCATGTCTGAAGTGGACAATGTCCCTAAAGAATTTAGAAGGACACTTGGAAAGGATGAGCAGTACATCCAATGTTCTTCTTTTTGCTCAGCACCAACTGTTACCAGGAATTAATCGTTTTAAGCAGTTCAGCTTGAATTTTTCTAACTTTTTGACAACACCACCCAACACAGGTGAGGTTTAGAACAACATTCTTACTTTGATAAGAGCAGTGGTTCAAGGAGATCTGCAGGGACAAGGGGAATGTAAAATTTTTCCCTTTCTCTAAAACAATTCACCACTTTCAGACGTTTCGTTCACAATTTGAATAAAAAATGCAACACACCAATACTGAGTGTGATTTAACAAGCATGTGAGTGCAAATTAGTGTTTTTGGGACTTAGAATTATTAAATCATCAAATTATCCCAGTGGAGCAAAAATGGGACATGTAACATGGTGAGGTTAGGACACGTGGGGACAGGGCAATTTTGTCTTAAAGGCAGAGATGGAAAGTCACCAAAATAAAGATGGAAAGGAAAATAAACATTAGACTCCTATTTAGCGACCTTTTATTTCTGTTCTTGTTTGATTGTAAATTGATTGATGTACAGTAAATACCTACACTAACTATTATATAATGTTCATACCACATTTTTACTACATAAACTGATTAAAATCTATTTAAATGACAAAACTCAGCTAATAACATAAAGAATGCTAAAGCTTTGTAATGATCGGTCTGTGCTAGGGATTGTAATGGGCCATTCCCATCTGTACCGGGTCGGCCCGGGCCGGGAAGCGTAGGTTGTTTACATATCTGGGTGGCCTGGTATTTTTCCGGGCCAACCAAGGCTCATTCTCAGCCCTCTTCTGGAGGGGGTCTGCTTCAGGCCGACCAAGGCCAACACACCCACTGCTGACAGCAAATTCACACCTTCCATTAGAGCAAGCCTCTGATTGGTGGGTAGAATCAGCCCACATGGGCTTAAGACAAGGATGTGTGGAATCAACCGGGCCAGGCTGGGGCCGACTGGGGCTACCCGGCCCGGGCCGACCCGGTACAGATGGGAATGGCCCATTACTCTCACTGAGTTCTTGT